TTGGATGTCGTTCGCACCTTCAGGTATGTGGACGACTACCTTATCGTGCTGGGGAGGTCCCATGTGAACGGGTACAAGGTGTTGTGAAAGGTGTCCTTGAGGTTTTCAACAGACACTCCAGTGGCCTGAAGTTCACGCACGAAATGCCGGCTGATAATGAGATCCAGTTTCTGGATCTACGGCTGAAGTTTGCCAAGGAGCACATCTGCTTCAAGTACAATCCGCGATCGAAGAAAGGCTTGTTGCCTTTTGATAGTGCGCACTCGAAGTTGATTAAGAGGGGCATTGTGTTGTCAGCTTGTGCGGAAGCCCTCGACAAGTCTTGCCCTCATCTGATCTCTGAAAGCTTCGAGGATCAGGTAGCTCGTCTGGGTGCGGCTGGGTACTCAGCACAGTTTTTAGCTAGCGCTTGTGAAAGCCTTCTTAAAAAATACAAGGGCGGGGGTCCAACTGTCGAAGGAAGGGAGAAGAGGCCTATTCATGTTATGCCTTACTTACATAGTGTTTCCCATAATGTAAAAAAGGTGGCTAATAGGTACGGTGTTGATGTACTGTTTTCTGCGCCTACAAAGTTACGTCAGATCTGCTCGTTAATGACTAAACAGAAGAAGGCAAAATGCACAAAAAAGCATGCGAACGTGTTCATTAGGTGTATATTTGCGGTTGTATATCTGATTCCTTTGTCGTGTGGGAGGGTGTACATAGGGCAGACGGGGCGTTGCCTCAACGAACGCTTGCGTGAGCACAGTCTGGCCGTAAAAGGAAAAAATGGCGGTCATTTAGATTTCCACTGTAGGACATGCGGTTGCACCCCCCGTTTCGAGAGTGCGTCAGTCATGGCTAAGGCGCGTGAAAAGACCGAAAGAGAGATAATTGAAGCGTACTTTATCAGGCAATATGATGACAAGTGCATAAGCATGCCTTCCATTTCACTTTCGGACAGGGAAATGGTCTTCCTGCAAGGTCATGTGTAATGTTGTGGCTAACGCCTTGCATTGTGTTCTCTTCCATTCATCTTTCTTTGTGTTGTTTATTAGTGTTCTTGTTTTCTTTCCCATGTGACGCTACGGAATGTTTTGTTAGATTTTATGTTAGTGTAGTTTTTGACTCTCTCGGCGTACTGCTTCTTCTGGTTTCTCATTTAGGGCTGCTTGGAGTGAATATGAAAATGTTAATTTATTGTTTTATTTGGTGCTAAGCGCTATTTTTAGGGTTTTAAAACGAAAATCTCTAGAACATGTTTTCATTTTTTCATGCTTTAGTTGATGCTTGGTGCAATGAATAATAAAAGATATAAGATGAGCGCACACCTTGGGAGTAAGCAGTTTAGATCGTGGTGGGTATCACTTTTGTATTTTGCCATTTTTCACGTTTGTCATTGTGGTGGCAGTCAATTTTGATTTGATTTGGTCGGCTTTGTTTGCGGCGTCTTTGGTTTTGTGCGCATCGTGGAAGCGCAGCGTAGCATGTATATATTGGCTTCAAAAAACGACAATAAACAGTTGGTAGTCTGCACTCTTTCCTGTCTCTCTTGTTTTTTTCTTCAAGTTTGTGCAGCAATTCAATTTTTCATTCAGGATAAAGCTGATATCATGCCGGAAGTGGACGCCGGACTCTTGCCTAAGCAAGATATCGCGAAAAAGCATGGGATACCGAAAACGACGCTATCTACTTATATAAAAAATTGCCCCGTGTCTGCATGTGATCTGCAAATGTCGTCGAAAGACGATAGTCTTGCGGGTGGAGAGAGTGAACAAAACATTTATTTGACGTTCTGCGCAAGAAAATAGGTGAACGGTATTCCGGAGGCGCTGCGCTCGACTGCCTCAAGCGTGCAGCGGAGACAAACGAGCGCATCAAGTCACATCACGCATGAGACATGAGCGCCATCTGGCAGTTTCTTTTGGAAAACAAAGCGCGTGGCCATGCACACCCATCTCAGAGGTGATAAGGTCTAGAACGCGAGGCGACGGGTAGGTGCCACCACCATCTCGTCTTAGCAAAGCGTTGAAAACACTCCCCGTTCCGTGCAAGCGTTGCATGATAAGCGCAGCGTGATAAGCGCTACAGTCCTTAAAATTACTTATGTATGCGTTTTCTAGTAAGAGATGCATATGCAGAATATATGCATGTTGTTATGGTGCCCCAGACTTGCACAATAATTGCTTTTTAATTGACAATCGCACAAGCATGAACGCTCAACCTTGAGCAACATTGGGGATCGCTGCGGATGGGTTGGCCGTTTCCAGTAACCGATGCCAGTAAGAATGGACAAACAGACAAATGTACAGACAGACAGACCAAAATTTTTGCGTCGAAGGTCCCCAAGAAAGACTATTGTATTTAAAAATAGGAGAACTACTGAAGACACCTTATAGGCACAAGTTGCGAGCAAAAGGAAGAGGTTGCGGCCCACAATGTATCCTGACCACGAGAAAGTGCTTCTCATTTGGGTAAAGAAAATGTGTTCACAGGACATACCACTGAGTGGCCCAGTCAAACTGGCAAAGGCAGTGAACTTCGCCCTGCCACTAGACTATGACGACTTTGCTGCTTCAGATGGGTGGTTGCATCCTTTTCGCAAGCGCTACGATCTCGTTTCGAGAGAAGAAAAGTAAAGAATGGATAACTGTGATGGTTGCTGCGAACATGACCGGAACTGAGAAGTTGCCTCTGTTTGTGATAGACAAATAGAGAAGTCCTCGTTGCTTCAAGAGCATCCGGTCCCTCCTATCAGACTACCCGGCCACCAAAAAGGCCTGGATGACGGGGGAATCGTTTGCGCAGTGGCTGGGGAAGCTTGACAAGAAGTTCGAACGCTGTGACCGCAAAGTCCTGCTTCTTGTGGACAACTATTCGGCTCATAAAGTCAACGTTGAGACGAAGGCATTGAGCAGGCCTTTCTTCCAGCAAACACGACAACGGTACTGCAGCCCATGGACCGGGGTATAATTAGAAATTTGAAATCCATTTTATCGGCATCATATGTTGGAACGAATTATTTTGTGCAATAACTACCAAGTGATGCTCCTAAGTGCTTGTGCGTGCTTGGGAGCAAGTGACAGCATTTACGATAGCAAATTGCTTTCGCCACTGTGGCTTCAGCACCAGTGGCTTCAGCACAAGCTCTGCAAGCTGATGAGCCACCAGTGCTCAAACACGGCGTCACCGCCCCCATGGCGGACATTTTGGAAGACGTCTGCTTTGCGGACTACGTAGCTGTGGACTCAAGTGCAGTGGTGTGCGGTTCACTTATGGATGGTGACATAATATGTCAGGAGAGAAGTGCAGAACCTGTCGCTGCCAGTGACGATGATGAGGAGGAGGACGAAGCACCAGTGCGGCCCTCTGCTGCAGAAGTCAAGGCCGGATTGAATGCCACCCGTCTTAAGTTTTGAAGAAGGCGGAGAAGAAGCCCTGTGCCAAATTTGCTCGTTAGAGCAAAAAGTGCTGGCTGTCGCCTTCAAGGAAAGAAGGCAGACCGTGATCACAGATTTTTTTCAAAAAATAAATTGTTATGCCCTACTCGCAGTGTACTATTGTTGTTCTTCACTTTCGTTAGTTCGAACTTTCGTTAATTCAAACTGAGGCGGCTTCCTTTTGAGGTTTGAATTAACGAGCTTTTACTGTATGGTTCTTCTTCTACGAGACATTCTTACACTGAAATTTCAGAAAAACACTTAGGATGGAGTGAGGACAAAAATACATGCTGTTCTGTAGACACACACCTACACAAAGTTGATTTATATATTGATATGTGGGGTTCAACGTCCCAAAACCACCATATGATTATGAGAGACGATAGTAGAGGGCTCCAAAAATTTGACCACCTGGGGCTCTTTAACGTGCGCCCAAATCTGAGCATGCGGGCCTACATCATTTCTGTCTCCATCGGAAATGCAGCCGCCGCAGCTAGGATTTGATCCCACAACCTGAGGGTCAGCAGCCGAGTACCTTAGCCACTAGACCACCGCGGCGGGGCTACATGAAGTTGAGTATGTTGGCAATGCTGATGCACAGAAACTTCTTGCATCAAGGTAGTGAGCAACCTTTACATGCTTCACTTTTGCGATAAACTTCAAAAGTACTGCTGGTGTTGCAACCATTGGAACACTAAGAGACAATCACATTACACCACTCCCTTCAATGTGTTTCATTGTTCTTCACATCGCTCTATCCGTATCACTTCCTTCACTAGACTGATGACAGCCAACAGAAAACAAAGCCAACAAAAGTAAAGATACGCTATTAATGATAGTATAAATGTGAAGAAAATAAAGAGGACAAAAAGGCTCATGCAGTAGCCAAACTACACTCGTGGTCATGGCTATGAGGGGCATTGACAAACATGCTCTCAGGTTTCTATGCATCTCCCACAAGATGTACGAAAGGCCAACCATCACCATGCAGCTCAATCGGTTGAGCATCAGGCATGTGTTATCCAGTGCGTATTTCATAACCACACTAAAAATAACAACCCCTATAGTACTTTCCTTGGCTTTAGTGCTTGCACGATGCCATTAATATTAAGCCCAGAAAGAAAAACGAGTAGTTATTCAGTTCCCCTTCATAGGTATTACATGTATCGCTAAAGAGACAACTGAGATTGCTACAGAAATTACCAAAATGCTGGCACGATCGCCTCTGGGGCGGGCAAGTGCTGGCAAAAGAAAAATCATGGCAAGAGAATGAATTCACCCACACTTCATGCACACAACCCTGCAATGCAGTCCCTTTCTAAGAGAAGAGGGTATAACAGTGTGCCCACACTAAAGCTGGGGGGTTAATAAGAAAATGCATACCCTCCTTATAAAATGTACAGGAAAAGAAATTTTGCATCTCTTTCATGTATAAAGGTTTCAGCTCTATTGCATTGAAGATGCTGCAACTGATAATATTGAGCAGACAAAAAAAAAAAAAAAACACTCATGCACAGGAACGAAAACCCACGAAAAACCTGTAAGCAAATGTAATCTCTGCAGGAAATCATCCTTGCCCACCTTTGCAAGACCTATGTCCAGAAGGCGCCTTGCTTCGCGATAGCCACTGGGGGACGGAATCCTTGTCAATGCTGCCACTCACCGGGGGTGTGGCTCAAGCTGCTCACTCCACAGCAATCAGGGAGTGGATCATACTGCAGGGGGCATTCAGTTAAAAACATCCTCTGTCAGTAGACTCACAGTGCCAAGTGTAGAGAACCATCCCTTTTCTCTTTTTAAACAGATATAACAGTACAAATGTCACAAGACACAAACTGCTATTTTAATGTGACCTTCTTGACTTGGTTCTTTCAATCGCCACTGCACACTGCAAAGCCAGAAGGTTTGCTTTTTGTATCCGACAAAAATGTGCAACCTGCAGACTTAGTGTTCGGACTTACACCTAGTCACGAAACTGGGATGCCTAAGACACCTCAACTTTAATGGTAAGAACTTGAGGTTAGAGATTTTGGTTTATCTATACAAGAACCTCCTGTGTGTTTTTCAATTTGTGCCCTAAGTTACTCACCAATGACCTCCATTAACTCTTATCCCCAACTCCTCCGAATCTAAAGCTATGAAAACCTTCTGTAAACACACAGGTAATATCTTTGGAGGGCAATAATACGGAAAGACGGGCTAGTTGGTACTGCTGCATAATTGAAGTTTTTGCGCACACACACAAGGACACAGAAGAAGGGAACACAAGGACCAGCGCACAAGGACTGCGCTGGTCCTTGTGTTCCCTTCTTCTGTGTCCTTGTGTGTGTGCGCAAAAACTTCAATCATTGGAGGGATCGTGTCTCCCTGCCTTATTCTTTATTGGGATTCTGTTGCTTTCTTTATGGAGAACGATGGTGGCTGTGGATTCGCTGTGGATTTCTTCTGGTATGTTTATGTACGGTTAATCAATGCCCTGATTCCACAGTGCTTGCATCAGTGCCTATGTCTCGACTTAGTCAAACGCCTTCTGGTAACCTATGAAGGCTATCTGTAGCCTACGGCTTGGTTGTATGGATTGATATATGGGGGTTTGATGTCCCGAAACCACCATATAATTATGAGAGACGCCGTAGTGGAGGGCTCAAGAAATTTCGACCAGCTGCAGTTCTTTAAGTTGCACCCAAATCTGAGCACACGGGCCTACAGCATTATCGCCTCCATCGAAAATGCCGCTGCCGGGATTTAATCCCACGACCAACAGGTCAGCAGCCGAACACCTTAGTGCCTAGACTACCGCGGCGGGGCGTGTTGGTTGTATTCCACGCATTTCTCTATCCCCTGAGTGATAGTATGAATATTGAATGCAATCTATCGTTAAGTAACATGAACGAAATTCTGTTCGGCCCTTTGGTTGGCTGAACTCCGTTATCTTAATTCGATTAGCTATTATTTTTGAAAATAGCTTGTAGACATCGGATTGGCCTGGAATTTTTTTTTTCAAATCCTTGGCACCCCCTTTTACACACCAGTGTAATTATGAGGCATGTTCTGGAGAAGGGCTACGGAAATTTCCACCACCTGGTGTTGGTGTTCCTTAACAACGTGTACAGACTTTGCAGTGTACTCAGGCCTCAAGCATTAAACCTCCATCGAAATGCAACAACCACAGCCAGAATTGAACTCGCACCCTTCAAGTTGACAGCTGAGCCTCCCAAGCACGGTTCCACCACACCGACACGAATAGAGGAGGAAAGATAAAAAGAATTGAGCAAGGCCACTAATCACTAAAGTGCACCACTAGTACAAAGCTACTTGTTTGTTTTATAGCTAAGTGAAACGAAACACCGTTTGCCACAAGAAACAGTAAATGTTGCCATTTATTGCTTCGTCAGTCACGTGGTTTTCTCTCCATTGCACTAAAGCGCACACGTTATTGGGAGCTCCATCAACGACATCCCTTCTTAGCCGTGCAGCTAAGCTTGCGTGCAGCAGTTTCAAGAAAGTGGTTTTGAACGAAGAAAAAAAAAAAAAAGGCAGTTCCCACGTGCAGTGAGAATCGATGGTATGCAAAGCACGAATGAGGAAGGTTGATATGTCACTTTAAAATGAGCACAACGTTACGAGGCCGACGTAAATTATGCCGTACATGACGTACATGTCATGATTATCATGTTTAGATGTGTCATTTACCTTCGTCATCTATTCACATCATGTAATTCCAAACTTGATATATGTGGAGCCAGCGAAACAGCCATGAGCATGCTATGAGCGTAGCATGTAGCGATGTTTTACATGACACACATGTCATGATCATGTTTGGTCATGTTATTTACCTTTGTCGTCTATTCACGTCACGTGGTACAAAGTTTGGTATTATGTGGAGCTAGCAAAACGGCCGCTAGCATGCTATCAGCGTAGCATGTGGTCATGTTTTACATGACACGCATATCATATTTATATTGTTAGGACAAGTCATTTACCTTCGTGGTCTATTCACGTCACGTGATACCGAATTCGGTATATGTGAAGCTAGTGAAACGGCAGCATGCGAATGATGGGCATGGTATGTAATCATGTGCTTACATGACACACATCTCATGATTTTCATGTTTGCACCAGTCATATACATTTGTCATCCTTTCAGATCCCTTAATAGCAACATTGGTATATGTGAAAAAAGCGCAACGACTGCGAGCGCACCATGAGTGTGGCGTGTTGTCATGACTTACATGACATGCATGCCAATTTCCACGTTAGGGTCTGTCCCTTATGTCTGCCATGCAGTCAAGTCATACCATGCCAGTTTTGCAATATGTCATGTGAAGAAAACCACCGCAAGTACAGCAGGACCATAAAATGTACATCATGACATACATGTCATGATTTTCATGTTAAGACTGGTACGTATGCTCGTCCCACAGTCATGTTTTGCTATACTAAATTTGGTATCAATAGCATTATTGAAACGGCCAAGAGAGCTAAATATAGTAGGCGCAGGTAGATACACTCAAAGTCGCTGAAGTTTGCTAAGAAATACTTCGCACTTAAAAAATGACAACATATCCACGAAATAAATGATGATGAGTGGGTGAAGCTCTGGAAATACATAGGTAAACCATGAAGCCTCCGTAAATCTTTCCCAGTCAATCATCCTGCAAAGATGTGACAAACACCTCGAGCGTTTTCACCGCGGCTTCATAGGCTCTCCGCTAAAGATCCTGTTGCCGGGGCTTCCGTGCAGCTTCGACTTCGTTGGCTCTCACTGCAGCGCATGCTGCAGCTGTTTTCCGAGCCCTCCGCTCCATCGCCGTTGTCACTCATAGGAAGCACGGCGCGAGCCAACTTTATACCTGTGCCTCTTGCTGTCTCCTATCCCACTAAAGCATGCATAAAACTGAAGCGAGTGCCGCAGCACCATATAGTGAGCAAGCCAAGTATTAGCTGTGCAACTGCTACAGGGCCACTGCCATCGCCATAGCAGTGGCTACTACAACTGTTACAACACCGGACAAACCTATGCCCTAAAGGGCTTTACCCCTAAAAGGCAGCACTATCTCTCAGTGGAAGTCACCTCAACAGCACTGCACAGCAAAGGAGAGTGGGAGAGAAACGAACGTAAGAAACGAGGGAGAGAGATATGATGGGAAATGAGGCCCTGCCCTGTCCTTCTCAGCCAAGGAAAGCCATCACACAGGTCAACAGGCAAAAGAAGGATATAAACAAGCAACACACGACGAACTCATGGTCGCATGAAGCGTTCAGCATCGCCGAAAGGCTGAACTTATAAAGACTACATAGGGAGGGCACAGATTGTACGAGCCTGAATAACGGACAACTTTTCAAGAACAGCACAGACAGCTCATTCGTGGCAGAATTCATGTTTACCGCGCCCATGCAGCAGCCCGGGCACAAAAAGATGAGTGGTAAAGAGCAGGCAGCAACTGCGCACTGAGGATCTGGCAGCCTTCTGAGCCGATTGCAAGCGACAACAAGGCAATGACGGAAACAAGTTTGCTGGGCCTGACGTCCGCTTTCAGAAGGAGTTTCTCAAGTGGCTTCAGCTGTGATGTCTGCAACCGCCTGAGGCTGAAAGTTTCCGCTTATTTGGTTAACCATCCATACGGAGTGCTGGGACGGTAATCTTTTTTTTTCTTTTCATTTAGTTCATAAAAGAAGAAATTGATTACATGCAGGGGTGAGTTATAAGGTAGAAAATATGGTATGAGGGAGATAACCATACTGTGTCAATATAGTATTTGAAAAGCAATGATGTGATGGTTTGAAACAGGGCACAATATAAGAAGGTTACAAAAAACAAAAAAGTACAGCCCCTATACGTTGGCCCAACAAAAGCAGACGTTTAACCATTCACCCTATTTCACTAAACCATGCTCACAAAAAGAAGTGTCGGCAATCAGCATGTTCACATCATGCAAAAAGATTACGCAGATGGCAGTATCCAGCCGAGATTCATGACACATTACCGCACCATATTGCTATCTCAACACTACCTCAAACACAGAACTGGGCCTTTTAATGCTTGTGCATTAAAAAAAAACAGAAAATGGTGACTGACCCATAGAGGTAGTAGAAGAAAGAGAGTAGGTAGAAGGCCAGCTTGATCCAGCCCTCACGCATCGCCCGGTTCAGCTGGTCCGCGTTCATTATGCTTGTCGGGTCGTACAGGCCAGGCACACTCATCACAGGACGCTGCCGGTACCTGCCCACACCACAACGGCTTCAATTATTCTAGACTGAAGAACGGCATACCATATTCAAGACCCAAAAAATCGACCGCAATGGAAGACAAAAAAAGAAATAACAATAATAATGTCAAGCTAGTGCATCAATGAAGTGACGTCGCTATCTTCGAAAAGTAATAGCACAGTCATGCCAATACTTTCAGCATGCTCTAACCTGCAATTCAGTTTACTTATAACAAAAGCATTTCTGAAAAAAATTGGAGTAATTTTCCTATCTCTGATTTACACAGCACTTGGTCTTGTATAATTGTGCTGCAACAAACTTGAACGCACTGAGGCAATGAATGGAACATTAATAGATTATTATTAGAACTGCACCATATTATGCAGAGCGATTAGTGCAATAATGTGCAGCTTACTGCACAAGAACTAGGCACTGTGAACAGTCACACATGTACACCACTGTGTGGCCTCTTGCAGGGTGGCTGGGACAAAGCCACTTCTCCCTCCACGGGAGGCTGTGGTGACAAAGGAAAGAGGAAGAAGATAACAGCAGAAGAAAAGCATGCAGCACGCAGCAGAAAAAAAGAAAAAGAGCACGTGGTGGTAGCGAAGATGGAAAAAAGGAAGAAGCAGCAACTAGGGCTCCAAAGAACACGGCCTTTGATAGGTTATCCAGCTTGGCGAGGGCTACACGGGAAAACCGCTGGGCAGCCTCCTGACGTGTCGCACTCTTGTGGACGCTTACGTACTTGGCGTCCGACTTCTATCCAGTTCTTGGCTACTACCTGGACTAGTTGGCAATCACCTCACCCGGCTGTTTATCATGATGTACCATGACGTGCCGATGAACTAGTAGCTGCTCATCAAGCCACGCCACCTCGTCCCGATCGTACACCGAGTGGTTCTACCGCTGGCCGGCTGTGTGACAGACGACTACGCCCACGTGAGCGGGTCACTGTTGTGTTTAGAAACTGCGTGCAGCCGTGTAGCGTACGTGAACGGGATCCCTGTGTCTGTCTGCGTATTGTCGCCAACAATCAGTTTCATTTATCAATATATATATATGTGTTTACCGGACCTAACGTGTTCGGATTCATTTTTCAATGCACCACAGAGGAATTAAAGTGGTGTTCTATCAATCTTTCCTCTACAGGGGCCAACACGACGAGTGGCAGCAAAGGCAGCATAGATCACACGATCTTCCAAGGTGGCTTTAAGGGCAGACTGGTCTTAGACATTTTTTTTGTTTATTTCTTCAGTGATCTTGATCAAACTGCACAGGGTTATGTAGTTTTTTCTGCTGATTTCAAATATTTAATTAGTTTTCCTGTAACTCACCTTGCTCCTGAGATAACTTAAGTTCGCCCCCTATTGTTTAAGGCCACCATAAAAAAGAGTGCTTATTTAAAAGTGATATTTAGGATATGCCAACATAGACTAAAGACTATAGAGTGAAAGTATGAAAGAGTTTTTGTTTTTAGGCCTTTATTAGTTATTCTACAGCAAAATGAACAATCCACTTTCAAAAGCAGTTGGAATTGTGTTAAGATTTCGATTAAGAAATAATTAAAAAAGCATGTGCTCTAAATTCTGCTCCCATACTTGCACTCTACACACATACAGGTTTCCACTGCAAAGATAATTATTATTGTACCTGCCTTAGCTGCAGATATATTAAGGCCTCGAAATTGAATAGTCGCAAATTCACTTTTTTGAGAAAAATGAAAAAAACTGAAAACACAGAGTTTCTTCAAAAAGCAACAATCATGGTGCGCATGTTTTGCAATCCCCATAAAGGCGCTCATAAATTTCAGTACAACTTTAGACACAGGTGCTGGCAAATTATAAACAAGCCTCAAAGTAGGTTCCCCATTTTTTGCAGGTTCTGCATGTTAACAGCACCAAGAATCTGGACAGTTAGAGTGACATTACAAAAAAATACTACTTCCTGGTGCGTGAAAATTTGCAGAAAAATAGAAAAATACTTGCAGAAACCAAATATGCCAATTTTAAAAAATGAATTTTTTTGTCACTTTTTGGTGCCAAAGTCCAAAAAGTGCCCCCTAAATGCCTTTTGGCAATTTCAAACAAAAAACCCAATGCTTCTGCTAAAATGCCAGGGTGCGTCGGTCACAGCACTGCTGCCTCACTTAAAAACTCTGGACACCACGTTTTGAGAAAGCTGGTAAACAGGGAGGCTGGTGTCTTTTTTTTTTTTTTGCGGTGAACTAACAACAGAGCCACAACTTCTCTGATGAACTTTTGCCTGAGATGATGGAAAAGACACAGCAGTCCTTCGGCAGAAGCTGGAAGGTTTGTACAAAACTGTCGAAGTTTGTGAAAGTTCTCACTCTTTTTGCACTGTTCGCTCATGCCCACTGCAAAGCTGGTATACCACGAGCTCTGTTTTAGATCATGTAAACAGGGAGTCTATCTTGTAAGCGTTCCATCACCGAACAGAGGAGGTACAAAACAAAGAGCCAATAGTTGAGCTGAGAGAATTCAGAAATGCTTTCGACACATAATGGAATGTACCTGAACATTGACATTATCAGTCATTGTTTTTCAAAGCTTTAGAATCAAGAGCAGGATGACTAACAATTCATTTGTGTGAATGTCTTGAGTGGACGCTGGGTGATTTCAAGAGTCATTCAGTGGTGATTTTTCCAAACTATTGGTGTGAGATTGGGGTGAGCCAGGCACAAAACAGGCAAATTCGATTCTCAGAGCTTTTTGCATTTTTGATCCAATCCACAATGTCGAGAGACCGTTTTAAATCCGTTTTATCGATGAATGGTGCCTCCGCCTGTATTGAGCCCATTTGATGGCTATTCTAATGTCTTCACCATCAGACGACACCTCGAGTGATCTCATGTGGCTCCCTCTCCATCCGATGTGTGACCGGCAGAAGCAAGGGACGCACAAAGAGCTCTAAGTTTGTGGAAGTGGAAGAGCTGGATAACCCTTGGCATAAGTAGTAAAGAAACTTGAGGAAATGCTCATTTTGGATAATTCCTCTTTCGCCAGGAAAGTACAAGTTCACTAAGCAAGGGAAAGAACAGTGCAAGGAAATCGAAACATAAACGTGGAAAGTGTGATGCGCAGCTAAAGAACAGACCAGCATTAGGTGTGGCAAAATATTGCCTGAGCATGCAAAACAAAGATATCCGAAACAAAAAAGAAATGCCCATTCTTTGCAAACACACAAATTGCTCGGTGAGTCGAGAGACAGACGCAAGCAGAGAAGAAACGAGTTGCTACCTCACCGAAAGGGAGCCACATCCACTTGGATGCTTCTTTCAAAACAAATGACTGAGCCAACAGGTTGACAACGAACGACAAACAATGCATCTGCGTTGACCCAATGGAGGGCATTACCAAGGAAACACTGCAAACTTTCGAAGACGTAGCACCTTCTCAAGCATACTTTTCAAAGCTAGATTATGGCTGGCAGATAAAGCACGATGAACAAGGTTTGAAAATTTGCACTCATCCACTGCAGCAAAAATGTTCCTGCTTGCTATGCAGAGAATAATAGGAAACCTTCAATGCATTGCCATGGGGTGGAAGAGCACGAAGTTAACCGATAACAGAAACTATAGTATTTGTTTTGTATCATAACTCTCAGTGGTACATGTGTGAGAGACTGAGCAGCTGACGTTCCAAGCAACGAGGTCTCATTCCACATGACCACTCTTCTTTTGCAAGCAACTTTAGTGCCAGTTCATGCAAGTGCAAAAACAACAATAGAAAACCACAGGATCAACCAGCAGCATGCTAGTTTCTAACCACTTTGTGAAGCACTAGGATAAATGCTAGTGCCTTGTCCAAAACACCATCGCATTGTCTGTAGAAACCACTCAAAATGAAACTGGCACAGCGATTCCTCAAAATAATCACCCATTCTCCAAAACACAGCACAGATATCTTCAGATAGAAAAGAAGCGCCCACATGTTTAATTTCATGAATATCAGATTGGAGAGCTGCAAGCAACTGAGGAATCTGATTACAAACGACCTAATAGATTTTTTGAAAAACCATTGTGCCCACTTGGGCACACATCTCGACTTGCAAAGATACTGCCTCCCAGTAAAATACATGCCAAGAAAAGTGCTTTCATTGCCGTCGCCACACTGTCTTGGTCTAGGAGTACGACACAGTTGATTGACAGTGACAAAAGACTAAGAAGAAAGACTGGATAAAGTGCTCACTAGCAACTGAAAAATTTATTTGAAAAAATGTTTTTTTATACATGCATCACATAAATGTATGCTGCACGAAATTAATCTAATGAAAGCAGCATTATTATCTGGAACAATATAATTGAGTACAGTCATTCAGCCTTTTGCTCATGTCCTCGACAGAGGCGGCTGCCGATCGTGCCAGTAGATTTTCAGAAGGCTTTTGATGTAGCTCCTCATGACAAATCATTCTGTAAATTACAGTTCCTTGGTTTTCCTGGCTTAATCCTGTCATAGACATCTGCTAACTTAATGCATCAGAAACACCGTGCTGTAATTAATGGAGAGCAATCCTATTCTTTCTGGATAACCTCTGGCGTACGTCAAGAAACTGTACCTGGCTCACTATTATTCTTTACTGATTGTAACAACATAGAACAAGTGGCCACACACGCCCTTATGAATATTGGTTTTTTCCTTGATGAATGTGTTATTTTTTAACAACATCCATAAAGCCAAGGATGAGTTGTTTAGCTCAGTCTTAAACAATATTTTCAAGAGGAGCATGAAACAAAACTCTTCCAAGTCTGTGCTTCTGTGGATAACGAAAGATGAAAAACCTAGGCGAGCTCTTCGTCATAGGAATTGGTATCACAAAAGTGTCTTCACAGATGTAGTGCTTATTGTGCAGTAATACGTCCATTCGTGTTTGGCAGCTTTAGTACCAACTGACGTGTATGCAATTACATTGATGCCAGGTGACACGTTTCTACCGCGATAATTAAACAATCACAATTTAACCGTAGTAGTACCTGAAGTTGTTGACATATAG